CCAGTTTTGGTTTATACTCATTTCTTAACCCTAACCCTTGACCATAGCCATTTTAGGGTGGGACTGCATAGCCAACCATATGATATTCGAATGTATGGTCAGATAGCAGCTCAGCCAAGGTTACAGGTCAACATATAAAGGGAGACTCTTCAAAGTTTGGCATTGACAACAAATCACCATTCAACCCTGACAGTAATACTAACCCTTAAAACGACCATTCAAGGAATATGCTTTTAATATCATTTATTCAATAATGGATATAAATACAGTTCAAAAACCGACTTGTTGAATGACATTACAACTTGCTCAATCAAACCAGTAGAATGAAACTCGCAGTTGCTGTATTGTCATCGATCCTGTTTGTTTGTTCAGCTACTACAGCCAGCCCAGTCAATCCCAGTGCAGCTAAAAATACTGGAGCTAGCACTTCAGCCGACACTTCCAGTACAAACGGTATAGGCATAGATAATCTTAGTCCAATTCCAGATGAGATCAAGTATTTGCTCAAAAAACACATACTGATACAGGATGCTCGTAATCAGCAAGAAAAAATGTATGGCCCGTTAAAATCTCGATACGACAGTCGATATCAAGTGCTAATGGGCTACGAAAAAGATCTTGAAAATCTGAAAAGTGAAGCTCAAAAAGGCAATGGCAATCCAAAATATGGTAAAACTGAAAAGACTAAGCCTGATCTTGAAGCTCAAGATTCCAAATTTGGCAAACTTCGAAAAAGCCTTGATGATTGCCAGTCCGAGATTACTCGTCTTGTAGAAAAGGAATGGGAAAACGATAAACGGATTGTGAGTTTCGTTTTCGGAACCCCTCTGAATCTTGCATCAGTTGCTCACCAAACTTCGCTTATCAAAGAAAGGCCTTCTGTTAAAGATTATTTTGAAAAGCAATTATTAAAATACAAGAGTATTGGTAAAAAATCTAGTCGACGAAAGCATCGAAAATCTGGTGACCGACGAAAACATCGAAAATCTGATGGTCGACGAAAGCATCGAAAATCTGGTGGTCGACGAAAACGCAGAGATTTTGAATCATCGGACGAAGAATCATCAGAAGAGTCATCAGAAGAATCTGATGATTCATCCGATGAAGAATCTAGATATAAATCTAATCGGAAGAGTACTTTCAGTATGCGGAGAGCTTCCTCCAAGTTTATCGCTAGATTTGGATCATCTTTTCAGCGATCCAGACGTGGCGGTCCATCCAATTGACTGGAATGTTAATCTGGACTTGTTTCAGCCGATTCAATTGTATTTCTGGTTTAATTTACAATAAAATTGGATTTGCATGCATTATATTTGATCATTGTACACTGTCTTGGTTGGTATCATATCATAGTATGCATTGATGATACTGACATGCATGTGTGTATTGTGTCGATATGATATTGCTTGACATGTCGTATTGGCACATGAAACACCAATATCAACAATAGTCATGTGTGTTGATATCAGATCTGACCAATTTGACTGGTTTGACTCGTTGATTGTGGTGTCGATATGGTTGCATCAATAGCCTGACTGATCACACACATCAGTTGTAGTGTCAACTTTGTCAAGTGTCAAATATCACATGTTGAATATACAATGCCAACAATATGGTCATTATGCACATGTTGATGTATCCAATGATCGTATACTGGTCGATTGGTGCAATATGATCACACATACTAATGGAATGTGATAGTCATGATATTTGCAGCAGTATACCATATTGCACTGATCCAATACATGCACGGCTTGAACATATCACACAATCAAACATGGACACACCACATTAAAAATACGTATAGTATCAGTTTGTCACTAATGAATTGTATTCAGTCGAGTTTATCGTGAGTCGTTGTGTGACTCTTGACAGTGTGGTGAGTTTTTTCAGGCACAACTACTTGATCAGTTGTAGTTGATGGTTTTCTTCTGCGAATAAATGTGCCATCTGAACCTGAAGTACTTGGTTCTTCAGGCAATCTAACAGCATGCATCAAATTCATGATCAATATCAGTATCAATCTACACATTCACACATCAATATCAAGCAGCTTACCGTGGCAATGGCCAGAGCACTCGATAACCGTTTGAAATAGTAGGATATCCATCAGTCGAGAGTTCGCATCCACATCCAGGACCAAACCCAGTGCGTTTATGTTTTCGATCAAATGTCAATTTAAGTCGAGTCATAAATGATACACCGAGAACTGCATGATCATTTGAACCAGCTTTTACAGCAAACGCAACTATAATTCGACATGTACATTAGTCAGGTTAATCAAACAACACACATTGCATACAATTGTCAAATACTTACATTTTTCAAAACCAACTCTCTGCATATAGTCTCTAGGACCCAGTCTGATTGTTACAACGGAATCGCGATTGTCATCAGTTACGGGGTTTTCAGCAAACATTGTAATTGAAAGCGTTGGTAGCTTGTCCCAACCAGTACGAAAGTATTTTTCAGACATTAGATAATGTTTCCAAAATATGTCTTCAATTTCTTTATCATTGAGCTTGCGCTCAAGCATATTATTGTTGATAGTGATCGCATTACTATCAAGAATAGCATCAACTAGCGTTTCCACGACTACTTTAGGAAAACGCATATATAAAAAGCATGTTTCCACAACAGAGTACAAAGTACGTCCATTTTTTCTTTTCTTTTTTTGGAATTCAGCAGGCAGATTCACTGGTTCGTCATTGACTAGTATATTCTTGATGTTGACACTAAAGTAACTGTTTGATGGCGATTGTACCCATGCAATACTTTTTCCATTCGTTCCACATTTTGGAGTTATATCCGTGTTTCCTATATTGATGAAACTTTCATGCAGAATATCATACGGACATAGTTGAAGACTAACCTCGTTATTGGGAATGACATCATCATTGTACAAACTATCCATCGCAGTGATTTGTGAATGTTGTTTTGACAACGAGGAATAGGCAAACCCAAATATTCCATCAAAATTTGGATCGATACCAACTAGATCTGGTGATTGTTTTTCAACTGCTATTACTGGTAAGTTGATGCCAGTTATCCTAGTACCCGGAATCGTCACATCGGCTGTGGAAGTAACTCCTTTATACTCTTTGCCTTTGTAATTTATAGCAACAGGTTCTCCACTTGGAGTGTGTTGCGGAGTCAAACCTACATCGTTGCTTGAACTAGGAAGTGGTACCATTATATCAGAAACTGTTGAATCGACTCGTAAATTCAACTATTTTAAACAAGTGTGAGATTGATTCAACGTGGTGCAAACTGATATCAAACTACAATGCATAGCATGGCATGATACATACATTGACTCCATCAACATTGAACTTCATTGTGTAACATTTTATGATATCACCATCCAATTCAACGGGTGATCGTTTTGACAGTCTATTATTTGATGGACTGGCACTTTCAAAAGGTGATTCTAATTCAAGTCGAACTGCAGCAACCGCCTGTAACGCAAGTATAACGCATTCTAGAGTAATCAGCATTGTATCGAGTAGTGTAATGAAAATGGGTTGAACCTGATACATGACTGCCGTTTTATAATGACGGCAGTTTCAAGGGTGAC